AAACTTGTATACTACATATTCCCTTGACATGTATAATTAATATTTAAAAAAATGACAACGTAAAGCAAAGGAAATTGACAGCAAGAGAAGTAGCTAGCTAGCAAATAATTAGACATAGACCAGGTAATCAGTTACATAGAGAAGCTTCAGGTGCAGAATATAAGCACATAATTAAATCACGAGAAATACAAAGGATCATAAAGCAATCATTCGTCGTGAGATACCCCTTAATTTTTCTCAAATTTGAAATGAACTTTTTTACACACGGCAACTGAGTATCATTTCATGTAATGTTGTACCAAGGATAGGAAAGTGATGAACATGAACTAAATCTCAAAATTCGTATAATTTCCATTGTTTGCTATCTAGGACAAGGCAGAATCACGAGCAACTAAAATACAATAAAGTAAGTCGGAAGCACTTAATAAGAGGCCTGACATCGGGCATATGCCATGGAAATATAGTAGTAAGCCAAAATGTCGTTTTTTTGTTGATTCCTATCTTTTACCTCTTGTAACAAAGAGCATGGAACATCAACAAGTGTAACATCATCGTCAGTGTAGACCATGTTTGACACCAAAGTCTAGGAAATAAATACAAAGGAAAGATGTTAAAGTGTAAACAGGGGAAAGATCAAGCAGCATTAGCTTAGACAAGGAAAATCATATACTGGTATCCTGCAGTCCTTCAGGGGGTTATGCTAACATCAAAATACGCCGACCTGAAAAGGTTTACTTATAGTTAGTCCTATAATTCAACACAATCAGCTATCAGTAATGTCATCAGTGGCTCATAGTTTATTTTGAACTTCAAGGATGTCAATCAAATAAAATGTTAGAATACATAGACATGAGCACCAATCAGATGTAAAAACATTGTAGAATAAAGTTTGAAATTGACATTTTCAATTTACCATATCAAGCATGTTAATCTTGGTACGTTTTCTGTTGAAGTTTGAACAAAAAGGGGAGACTCAAAAGGGGCATTGCAATAAATTCCCTGCACTACAATAGACACCCGCAGTAGATTGTTGAACATCAGATCAAACATTGCGGCACTGCACATCATCACTAAAATTCCTTCGCAACAATTGATCATTTCGAATTAGTTCAGCCCTGTACATCATGATTTGGTGATGCCAATATTGCCATGACCCCATCACAATGTTGTATAATTAATTGTTTAATGAAAGGTTAACACAGGGAGTATAATATGTATATCTAGTCCAGCCTAATTCTCTTCTATATTTCCTCTACATAGTCAGAAACTCATATCCCAAGCAATGAGCCATAACTGGAGCTTCACTGCGACAAAATAATGACCGGTGGTCCATTTCCATGAATAAGATCATAAATCCAGATAGCATAGTACAGATCCATGCCTCGATTCTCATCCATCAGGCTACAAATTAAAAAAAATGGGATTATCAAGGCTAATCACCAAGTGTTTCAAGTATTGAACAACCAGAGAAAGATTTAGCTACAGTCATACAACATGATTCATGTGCACAGGTTTTTTTTTCCAAAGCATGTGAATCAAATTGACTTACTAATTTGGTCAGCTGCTGTCACGATTTAGCATCTTCTGAAATTAATCAAGGGCAATGGATGCATATAGAGAAAAATCAGTAAATGGTCACATCCTGAAGAAAATCAAATCAAGAGCATGCTTCTGACATAAATAAGAAATAAAGAGAGAAAGCTATTTCACCTAGGGCTTGAATCGTCGATCTGTCCGTGGCGATGTTGTCCATGGAGAAGCACACTGAGAAAGAAAGGGGAATGGGATGGGGGCATCGCTCTGCCAAGATGCTCGATTTCCCCAAGGTCTCCTCTGCCTCCTCTCGACCCTGGGAGGCAACTTCCCTGGAGAGAAAGGAACCCAGCCTGGAACTTGCAGCAAGATTACCACCTACAGATAAAAACTGGAGCACTCAAGCAGACGGCTTAGTCAAATCACAAAGAGAAAAAAAGGAATAAATGAATCAGGGGGAAAAGTAGAGCAACGGGGAGGAGAAGGGGCAGAGAAGGCACACCCACCGGTCCAGATTTCGTCCCCGACGCCTTGGCTAACTCAAGCAGAGCCATCTCCCCATCGACCATCTCCGCGTCGCCCGCCTTGGATCTGTGCGATGGATGAACGAGGTGCCGGTGCAGCACTGGAACCGCGCAGGTCGCCGCCGCCCAGACCGTGCACCACCGTCCGCAGGTTCTCCAGATCACACCCGGCCACGGTGTCGCCATATCGGCACGTCACAGGAGCAGACATGGTAGCCGCCATGGGCAAAGCAGAGTGGAGACGGTGGCGTGTAGCGGAACCAGCAGCATGGAGATGCGGGCAGAGAAGGACGGGCTGAGTTGCGGGCGGAGCTGGGCAGGTTGAATCGCGGGCGGCAGCGGCGGCGGCGGGCGGTTTTGGGGGAGAGGAGAGGGGAGAAGGCTGCGTGTGGAGGAAGAGAAAAGAAATCGATTCTGGTGTGACCCCCTGATTTCCTTTTTCCTCTCACACCCAATCACCAATGTGTTTCTTTTGTCCTACCTGCGATGACGTGGAACGAGCGAGAATGCGCCATTTGCGCGACCCGTAATGGGTTTAATGTTAATTTCCAGTGCTTTTCTTGTATGAAATTGAACAGGGCTGTGTTGTGTGCTTGTAAGGAAATTGGCATGAATGAGATGTATTGTGCTGCGCACTACGGAAGGGAATAAATTGAGCTGTGCTTTTTGCTATCATTTGAACTGATCTGTGCATATTAACTACTTCAGCAAAATAGAAAGGAACAATAAACACCATACCAATTTTAGAACAACTCTAGCAAGAAAACTGTTAAATGGGATGAACAGCTCCAGCAATATATACACGAAACTGACTGGAAATAAGAAAACCCATACATGAACACAACATGACAGGAATCAACAAAGAACATTACAGTGGCAAAGAAATAAGCTCATATATGAGAACATAGAGCAGTTCAGAGGGAGTTTTTAAAGCAGATAAGCAAGTTCACTACATGAGGACTAACATTCTCATGAGCATTACATGATCATCACACCTGACATGATCACTCAATATTCATGAACATACCATGCAATTAACATGTGCATGTCAAAATCTGATTGTGCAGTTCACAGCAGAATAGGCAACAATGAAATTATGTTTTATTTTTGTGAAATATGGCAACCTGCGTCTCTAACAGACCGTAGATATTTATTAATTGGTTGCCCTCGTTTAGACACCCAAGGGGAATAATATTAAGGCTATATTGTGCCAACCACATAGCAGATAACAAAAAGGGTATTTACTGTACAACTGGCAATAATACAAGAACTTTCATGCTTATATATTTTAGGGATGTATACCATAGTTATGAGTTTATGTAAAAAAAACGAAACATATGTTATTCAACTAGAAAACAACGTATCATATGCGGACACAATATGTATATCCCACCCCCACCCCAATATGCGGACACATTCTGAACATTTCATAGGCTAATGTAACAAATATGACATCCATCATAATAGTGAGATAACGTTCTGTTGTGAGGTTCAGATAGCAAAAAAGACAATGTACCATATCCAAATTAGCTCAAGATAGATGCAGAAATAAAGAGAATAGCTTCAGGTGCCGAGTTGATTAAAATATTAATATATATGCTTCATATATGTATTCTAGATGCATCGGTTGACCTTGAGGGTGTGGAATTTCTGCTGATTCACAACCATCCCTGGTGGAAGGAAAACCCAAAGGGCACTGATGTTGCATGAACCAGACCCTGCAACACAACAAATCAACATCAATGAACATCATCATTCAACCTAAATAGAAAAGCAGGCCTGGAAGGAGCAGGGAAGGTAGTAGACCTTCCAACAAGCATCAGGATCACATTGGACATGCCGGGTCTATCACCTGGATTTTCTTGTACACATAATAATCCAATGTGTAGGCACTTGAGAACCTCACTTTCAGAACAATTGTGGTGCAATGATGAATCCACCACACGAGGGCAGTCACCGATTCAGTGAAAAATCAGTACTTAACAGGTTTTTTTCTTTCTTGAAGTGTGTAAGTATTACATGTATAAAATGATCAGGAATGTTTAAAATAGGACATGGATATAAACTGCATATAGCATTAACCTGATGGTGGCAAAATCTGCATAATCTTTTTTTTTGTAACATAAAATGTGCATAATCAACTTTACAACAGCCAAGAAGGATACAACATAGCTTCCTAACAATGCAATATGCACCTTAGATAATTTAGTATAAAATCAGGTATTTTTTTAGATCAGTAGGGCAGGGCATACAAATTATCTATCTGCATTTCAGCACAACGTACATGATATGTCAGTGGGATAGCTAGAAAAGGCAGGCCACCTCTGGTCTTTACACTAATGGCAAACTCATAGCACTCTTATCTATATATAATACAAATGAGTCTAACTACACAATACTTACCAAGATAACTCGTTACAAATTGTAGCTCAATCCTATCCTTGGATAGCTGGAAAGAGCAGGCTATTACTACCCCTTCATTCTTTCTTCAGATAAAGGTCTCCAAAATACCTTGTCAAATATTCAAGCCCTTTAATGTTTTCTTAATTACCATAGATCTAGTCTGCCACTAATCTTTGGTGACCTAAGCCACATTACACAGTAGTATCACCTGCCCCATGTTTTGAAAATCTTTGTATGAGAAGAAGAATTGGTTTGATGACGACTTAAGCCAGGTAAAATAAAATTGACGAAGATGTATATGCAAGTTCATAGAAGCAGCATACCAAGTACTCGGACGGACGATGGTGAAATTGTTGAGCTGTCGGCGCGCTCGACCGCGAGGATTCGTACATGCCTGGGGACCCTTACAACAGCCCACGCCGGAGCAGGAAGACGCGTCCCTCGGCAGCGGGGGACGGGAGCACGCACAGCGGACACGGGCGCCGCCGGCAGTCGACGGGAGGGTGGGGATGGCACGACCGCGCTGTCGTCCGCAGCGCCTCATCCCCTCGCCCACGCACCCTGGACTGTCCCCGGGCCGTCTCCCTTCCGCGCAGGTCGAGGTCGGCCACCGCCGACCGGCAGCAGGGCCGGCGTGAGCTCAAGGTGGAGGCCTCCCAGTCGCTGCTGAGTGGCGGCGTGATGGTGGATAAGGAAGGGGCCGCCGCTCAAACCGGGGGCGGGAAGCCGCTGACTCCCGCGGCCGGCGAGGGGACGGGAGATGGCCGCCGCCGCCATGCCATGAGCCGAGCCAGAGAGAGGGGGAGCGAGAGATGGGGGGGGAGGAGGAGGCCGGCAGATTCTGATGCCACAAATTTTTTTTTTCTTTCTGTTCTGCTCTTTTTCTTCTGCATGCATAGGTGCAAATTTATACTACTCCTTACAAACAAAAGCAGACACCTCCTTTAGCTCAAACAAACAACAAAGTGCAACGATGTATTTCTTTCCTGATAACCGAATACATGTACTGACCTCAAATAAAAAAGATACTACTACATGTACTACACCAAAGTTGCAATGTAAACGACATTTATTCATACATCATAAGCAACTCATCCCCTCACTGTAAATTAAATCCCGTGTAAGGCCTCAGCAGACAGAGCACCAAATTGCTTGCTAGCCAGGGGCTGAGCTGCTTTTCGTACTTTTTTTCCCACCGTCCGCGATTGGACTGCTCCCACCATAAGAGGGTGTAGGAGATGGCTGCCCACTGGACCACCAGGTTTGCTTCGCGACGAGTCATGTACACTGGACTAGGCCTTTCCCATCGAGACCTCAACTTGGCATTGAGGCCGGAGAACCGATTCCCCTCGCATACCATTACGATCAAACTGACGAGTGCCGATCTAAGTTTGGACACGCTTGTGGTTTGTGGATTGTAGTTGGCCACCAGGATTGTTTTCCACAAAGTGGATCATGATCCACATCTCGGGTGGACCATAGAAATCCGGCCTTTTTGGACGAACGGGCGGGACAGAACCTGTGGCGGGTTATTGGCGTAGGAGAAAAAATGGCTCAGCACAACGTCGGACAAGCCAGAAAAGGGGTCCCTGGTGAGATTGCAATAGACATCCAAAACGTTTTCAGGGTCATCAGCGGCAGTGAGGTGGAGGGGGAGGGAAAGGCAGAGCAGGAGCACAAGGAAAACGGAATGGTAAGACATGCTGTGTGTGCGCGTTGGGAAGCGTGTGTGGTGCACCGGTGCAGAGGATGCACCGAATTGACACGGTCGACTCGAAGATGTATATATAGATAGAAAGCGACAGGTGCAGTCTCACCGGCACAAACAACGTTGTGGCTGTTTTTGCAATAAAGAAAGAAAGAATTTTCTTTTTAAGGGCGCGCAAGAAGCGTGAAAACAAAATTAGGTGTAAAACAGGGCTCGTTTCTTGGAGTTGCAGGTGCCAATTGCCAAGAGCGTGCTAGGCACATTCTCAGAAAGAAAGAAAAAAAGCGTGCTAGGCACATTCTTAAGGAAAAAAAAAGGAAAAAAGAAGAGCGTGCTAGGCACGGTGAGTGTTCTTGAGTTAAGTGGACTCCGCCCTCTCCCCTGTGTGCTCGACGGCGACGTAGTACTAGTCCTCTGCCGTCTTCCGGGTCACTTTTGTGCCGCCGCCCGCTGTGGTGCCACACGCGCAGTTTAGGCCAACTCCATCATGCGACCTCAAACGCACATCCGCTTTGTTCGGATTCGGTCCATTTGGATAGGACAATGGGATCGTGCCCGGGCCTATTCTGAAATGTGGTGGCCGTGTGCCCAGCGCGCGGCCCCATTCTGCACGCCACGGCCAAAAATGCCCATATATTCATATCAAAACAAGTTTGTACGTCCAAAAATATTATTTGTCTGGAAATAAAAATAGTTTTACAACCCAATCGAAATTGTCTCTAATAAAATAGTTTTACAACCAAATCGAAATTGTCTTGAAAATGAACCATTACATCTATTGGTTGCCAATGTGACTCCACACGTGCTCAGCCAAGTCATTTTGAAGATCCAAATGAGTGTGCCAATCATGCAGCTCACAATGGAATTGGACAAACTGTTCAAACGTG